TGATCTGAGATTCTAAAGGTAAGAATCTTAACCTCCATTTTCAGAGTTTCAATTCAAGCCTTCAATCTCTCTGTTCCATCATGGTTTCCAAAATATGGTCTTTAATGAGGGTTTAGAAACCTAAGTATAACTAGTATGTTTTTAGGAGATTTAAGCCTTTATAAACGTTCTAAATCATTTTCTAATCTTCCAATCCAGTTAGTAACTCATGTTTTTAATTATTGCTTAATGAGAGAAGTTAGAGAAAGTTCCAAGGTCAAGGGAAAGGTGAAGCTAGCATTTGGTCAAGTTTTGAGTGCTCTCAGTAGCTTAGGACTCAAGGTAACTCATTTCTAACTCAACTCTACCACATGTAGATCGCTATGTGTATTTTGGTAGGTTGCATGAGTTATAAAGCGTGTTCATGGTAGATCTCAACATTTGATTTTTTTTCCAGCTTGTTTATAGACCTATTATGACCATGTTTAACACACATAAAACTTTATTAAGGTTTGGGAATCTTAGTAAGTTTTTTGGGTGTAATAATGAGTCATTTTCGTGTTTAAATAGGGTATTTATGGGTTTGAGTATCAATACTGAAATAACAATACCGATATTATCCGTAAAATGGTTCAAACAAGGGTTTTTAGGATACAAGTATTGATACTTCTTCATTGGGTATCGATATTATCAGGAGGAGTATCAATATCGGGTTCACTTAGCAAATTTTAGTAGCCAATTTTGGTATTGGTACTCATGGGAGTATCGATACTGGGGGTAGGTTATTGATACTCTCAGTAGGGATATAAATACTAAGGCTTTTCAAAACATCGAAGTCAAATTTGATATAGATACCCTAGTACAAAAGTATCGATACTATCGTCCCTTCTCAGTGTGTAATAGTTATTACAATATCGATACCAAAAGGTAGGTATCGATACTCAGGGGCCAATACTAATAATGCAGGGCTCAGTATCGGTACCAATGTATAGGTTTGGATAAATAATCCAAATGATTAAGGGGTTAGACTTGAGGGGCTCAATAACACCAGAATGCCTTGTAATAAAACTACAAGTAAGAACAATAATAAGCACAATACAACTAGAAACAATAGCAAGCACAATACAGCTAGAAACAATAACATTTAGGATTACATAAAATTAGTCTTGTTTGATGCTCGAGAAAACAACCAGGACGCCAAAGTTACTTTAGTAGAATACGATCGTCTTGTGTGGATATATCCTAGTTAGTGCCAAGTCATTTTAGTTGACGATCGTGCACAGATGCCCCAAAACTCAACGGAGTAAATTGGTCGGGTGTACATTTTCGATGCAGTTTCAAATCTCACCCCAGATACCTGAGGGTATTTTAGGAAAGCTGGAGGGGTATGTGCTCCGAGATGCAGAACCCTCCGCCATACCATGATGCCTATTTCAGCATTTCCTGACAACACTCTTATGTCTTCATACCTATGTCACAAGCATGCTCATGTAGTGAATGCATGTAGTACAATACAATTATTAGTGTGGCACTAAGCTCGTAACCACAACGTTCGGAATGTGTTTCCGTGAGCAGGTTCTTAGGAGACCGCCCGTGGAGTGTTATCATCACCATATATTCCAGTTTAGCTGAGGTTTCAGAGTACATCTTGATTATATTAGAAGACATGTACTATTTATAGACCCTTTTGTATTCGGTCGTAACTCCATTTTGATTAAACTCAGTATTTGTATTTTTTAGATGTATTGGAGCTCCCTAGTATTTTGTAAACTCATATTATTATGTTTTATTTTATTTCACTATGGATGGTTTCATATGATGATTTACAATCGATTTTAAAAGAAAATTTTTGGGTTAGCCACTTCGATGATCCCATGTGATACTTTAATCCTTCGATCGGATCAGACTGAATTAGGGTGTTACATATTTACTACTAAAATTATATTCCATTTTTTTATTAATCATAAATCTTAAAATAAAATTTGATTCCACCTTTATATTTAAAAATATCAATTATTAGATAAATATATCTATTTATATATTAAATAAATATTAGTGGCATCGTTAATCAATAATTCTAATTCAATTATTAGATATATATATATATATACATATAGACACACACAATTAAATCTTTTATTTTAAGTTTCAATTATTAGATAAATATAACTATTTATTTATTAAATAAGTAAATGCCAGTGACATCGTTAATAAATAATAATAATATTAGAGGTAGATAAAATACTAAATTAAGTTAGAATTTAATATATATTTACACAAAATTAATTTTATTTATTTTAAGTTGCATATTAAGAGTATGTTTGGACATCACACTGTCATCGTATGCAAAATTAATAAATTACCATATTATTTATATTCTCACGTAATTATTAAATATTCTAATTACGTAGATATATTTGACAATTACATCTTAATTCATCTTATCATGCTTGGTTGTATAAATTGTAATTACAGATTGTATAAGTTTATACTACAAATAATAATAATAATAATAATATAATATTAAATCCTAAAAGCATTTTATAAATATTATTATAAAATCTTAGCGCTTAATCCCAAGAGCCCACATCTATGACAAAATTTAACATTCAATATTTTTCTCATTCTTATTTTAGTCACTTAAATTTAAAAATTTCAATTGAATAATTGAACTTTATATATTAAATTTTTTAATCACTCTTCGATTAATTTACTAAGATTAGTTTATCATTAAAAAAGAGAAACATTTCTTTATCGGTGATGCGACGATGAGAAGAAAATAAGTTTAAAAGAAAATCATTTGAGAATAAACTAAATCCAGATACCCTTCAAAAGGGCTAAACTCTCGACATAACGTTCTCGAACAAATTTCACGAGATAATGCTCTCTCAAGATTAATTGCTCAAATAGGGTGAAATCTACAGTGTTGGTCGTAGGTCGCCATGCCATCCGGGTGACCTACTAGGTCGCCATGTCTTCCAGGTAAGCTATGAGAGAGATTGCGTATGTCATGCACGTTCCAACACGCTGGGCATCCAAGGCCATCCGAGGGCATCCGACCGAGGCTATCCGAGCAGGAAAAATCACGCGAGGAGCATGAGGGAGTGCATCGCGACCTACAAGGTCGCCCGGAGTGCATGGCGACCTACAAGGTCGCCCGGAGGGCATGACGACCTATGCTTGGGGACGTGCATGGCTGGCCACGTAGTAGGTCACTCGGAAGGCATGGCGACCTACGGCAAGATTTCACCATATTTGAGCAATTAATCTTGAGAGAGCATTATCTCGTGAAATAATTTGTTCGAGAACGTTATGTCGAGAGTTTAGCCCTTCAAAAGAACAACATGGAATAATAGAAAGAAAAAAGCTGAAATGAAGGGCTCTCAGAAATTCGGAGTTTCAACAAGGTCCAACTTTGTTAATCAGTCAACGATTTGAAATCAAGGGTAATAAAACTTTTAACCATGTTATAACATTGGTACAAAGTTAACGACGGAGTGATAAAAAAATTAATGTATAAAGTTTAATCGTTAAATTAAAAAAATTTAAATTTTAGTGACTAAAATAGGAGTGAGAATAAAATTAAGTGATGAATTGTGTAATTATTCTTTAGTTTATTAATAGTTTATAGGATAACTACGTATTGAGTATCTAAATTTCACTTTTGATACATTTTAATATCTAAACTTTTAATTTTTACAAAATCATATCTAACGTTTAGTTTTTGTTTCATTTTAATACTCCACCGTTAAAACCTTAACTTCAGAGCTGATTAGAAAGAAAATAACTTTAGACTCCCAAAGGGAGTGCTCACCGGGAGTTGACCCTAGGTCTCATAGTGGGTAGGGGAAGGACTCATTCAACTCAGATTAGTTGGTTTTAAACGACAAAGTATGTATTTAACTTATACCAAACTATCACTATAAAATGAAATAAATTTTATAGATCTATGATTCCAACTTAAAACATCTCAAAAATATTCAAGCATTTAATTATTAAATAGGATTAAGAATTGATTTAATACATACCAAAATTTCATTTAAATTATAAAAATTAAATTAAAATTAAATAATTCCTCAATTAAAATATTATTTAGAAATAAGAAATAATTAAAATAATTATTTTATTATTTAATTAAATATTTAATGAAAATTATTAAATTAAAATTTATACTCTATCCTTAAAATTATTAAAGTAATTTAAAATAAAATTATTTATTATTTTCATAAATAATTATAAATAGAAGTTTAATTTTAAAAATAATTTAATTTAATTTTTAAATAATTAAATACATATATTTTAAACTACTTATGATACAATACATGTAATTTTTAAAATAAAATAATATTGATTTTATAAAATATATAAATAATTATTTAATTATTTTTTATTTTAAATTAAAATGAGAATTTATTTAATTTTAATTTAATATTTTTATATGTTAAATAGTAATTTTGGTATGTATTAACTTAATTCTTAATCTTATTTAGTGATTAAATGCTTGAATATTTTTGAAATATTCTAGGTTGGAATCATATATCTAACAAATTTCTTTCATTTTATTGTGATAGTTTGATATAAGTTAAATATATACTTTGGCATCTGAAACCAATTACCTTTGGTAGCTCAGTTAGTTGAACACTTCCTCTTCCTCCTAGGAGACCCAGGTTTGATCTTGGTGAGCACACCTTTTGGGAGTTTAAAATTTGTTTTGTTTATTAGTTGAATAAAATTAATTAAATAATAATTTAAAATTAAAAAAATAATTAAAAATGAATGGCGAGTACTAAAATGAAATAAAAACTAAATATTAGGTATGATTTTAAAAAAAATTAAAAGTTCATTACTAAAACTTATCAAAAGTCAAACTTTAGGTACCAATTGCGTAGTTTATCCTAATTTATATGAATAATTGACCGATCAAGTCCCCGACTACCTCGAAAGCCAAAAAGAAAAAAGAAACAAAATTTCTGTATCTTACACTTCTTTGAGAGAAGAAAACCCAGAAATTTGTTCTATTTTTTTTCTTCTTGCTTAATTTGAAAAGGAGGGGAAACCCAATGGGTTTTGCTTCATTCTCCGGACGAGTTTTCTTCGCTTCTATTTTCATTCTCTCCGATTGGCAAATGTAATCACTCTTCTCTCTCTCTCTTTTTTATCTATTTAATCTATTTGTTGGGTTGTTTAAGAAATATGCTTAATGTTTTTTAGATCTGTTCCTTTCTTCACTTTTTGTTTGTGCTAAATTTAGTAGTTTTTGGGTGGTCTTGCATTTATTATCCTTAATCTGTATCTCTGGTTAATGATACTTTTGTTGAGGATCTGGGCCAATTTACAATATTGTTAATTTGTGAGTTGCGGGTGAGTTAATTTTTTTTAGAATAAATGGAAACTGACGTGTTTATAAATTATATTTCGTATTTTAAATGTTATTAGTTGTTATGATACATAATTGTTATGAAAAACCTTTTCTACCTCCATTTTTTTGTTTAATAGGACTAGCATTTCCAAGTCCAGAACTGAATATTTTAGAATAGTTTTCTGTAGGCAATGCCATTTTTTTTTCGAGAAGATGAAAACGAGTCTCATGAAATGTTAATAGATGTGATGGTATTGATTCTTGTCATTGTTGAATCAAGCGGATGATTCAATGCTCTGAATTCCTCTATGCTTTGCCGATTAGGGGCCGAAATCTTGTAATTTGCCTAAGTAATTTCGGTAATCATAACCATTCTGGTTTCTTGATAACTCCGTAAAAGGTCATATTTTGTACTTTTTACTTAAGTTATTAAATGTTTAAAGACCCATTTAGAACCATATAGATGCATTTAGAAGCATTTAGTTGCATTGTCTGATGATGTGCAGGTATTGAAAGCTGAAAGCAAGGAAAAGAGGAAAGAAAATGCCGTGGCATAAGGAGATTGCTGAGCTAAATGAAAATGCCGAGTTCGACTAGCATTTTGAGAACGCAAAAGGTGAAAGAAGATATTTTTTAGCCAGTTGTCTCCAACTCTCCGTGCCCTCTGCCCGAGAAATCCACCTCGAAGATACGCCTGGAGGGATCGGCGCTGCAACCGTCGATCCTGCTGATGATGCCGTCTGACCCTGCAGATCTTATCTGTCATTGGATGCCTGCAACGGGATTATGTCGGGTCTCAACCAGCAACCCAGGCTGGATCACTGCTATGCTTTGCCCGACTCCCTAATAAATCAACCATGGTTTTGTGGTTTTCTAGGATGGTTAACACTAAGTCTTAGGGTTAATTTTCCCCTATAAATAGAGGAGGAAGCCACAATGAAGAGGACTTTAGTTCCCCAATGTTTTGAGCTTAAAAAGTTAGAGAGAGAATGTCTCATCTTTCTCCGTCAATCCCACTTGCCGTGACATTTCTCTTTGACAAGCCGAAGGGAATTGCGTTCTAAGCATCCGAGAGGAGATAGTTCGCTAGGACCAGATCTTGGTGGCCGAGGGAAGCATTGGGCAGTGCACGTCGAAGGTTTTCTCTCCTCCCCTTAGTCCTTTGCTTTTATATTTTGTTGTTGGGTTGTAAGGAACGAATGAATCTTGCTTTGTGTTTGTTGATTTCGAACCCCACCATGAACTAATCCTATTTGGTGGGAGTTCACTTGGATGTTTAAGTTTTTATTTTAATGAATGGTTGTTGTTTTATGCTTTATTCTGTTTTGTTTGTGAGACTTAATGCTTTAAGGTTGTAGGAGCTACGAGAGTAGCCTTTCCTTAGAAGGTGCTTAGGGTTCGAGAGAATGCATTGGCAAAATATCTTTAGTCTTTGAGAGAAGCTAGGGAGGAACTACACAAACAAGAGGTTCTACATAGTAACTAGGCCTAATCCACCTTAGAGATAAGGATAGGATTTCATTCGACTAAAAGGGTGTGTATAAACGATAGGTTAGAAGTTAATGCTGCCGCAAAAAGGTATTGCCGAGACATATCCTATTAACTGAACCAATAGGGTCACTGCAAGGGCTTACGTCAATCGGTTTTGTCAGGACAACTTTAATCTGTTGAGTCCCTTACTAGAGATAGCATAGGGCATTTCAGTAGACTCTGTCGGGCAGGGTAAGCTTAGAAGAAACACCATTCAGAGACATAGACTTAGATTTTCCTTGTAACTCCTTCCACTCATTTCCATTGCTGCTTGTCATTTGAGAAAGCTAAGCCTATTTATTAAATATATATTTACATTTATTTTGTCTTGACATTTTCATCTGCTTGCACGTATTACAATTTAATTTGCCACAATTTTCAATTACCATCACCTACCATCATTCCATTTCCCCATCAGCTATTCCATTTGTCACAGCATTCTCATTTGTACATACCATCACTAACTTTACTTAGGTGACAAAGTAAAGTGTCTTGACAAACCTATTTGATTTCCCTAATTCCCTGTGGAGACGATACTCGACTTATCACTTTATTACTTATTCGATTGTGTATACTTGCACACATATCCGCACCCATCTATAGTACTCACAAATAGCGGACATTTCTCCTATGTAATTTCGGTGATTGACCCTGTACTGAGTCTTATATGTTGGTGCCACATAGTTACCGACTATTATCTAATTCGTGATTGTAGCCAGACTGTGTAAAGAGTTCATCAGCACTGGTGTCTGTACACTGAAACTATCTTATAGATATAATGTTATTGACCGTTCAACATGTTGGTAGGTTCAATGAATTCGGGGTTGATGGCGGGCCTGCTGCGAAGGAGTTGATACCAAAGCTTGATGATGCAAAGAAACATATATCATCTCGATTCCATGTAAATTTTCCAGATATCGAAGTAAGAATCATCTTGCATATGATGTAATGATTTTTTTTTTAATATCAAGTTTATGTTAGTTTGATTTGCTCTATGTTTACTTTCATTTCTGATATGGAGACTTGTTTACACAGGTTAGACAATTAGTTTCAACTGCCATCATTTTGAAAGGACTTGGTGCTATTGTATTTGTATTTGGCCATGGATTGGGAGCCTTGTTACTGGTTAGAATTTCATCTCTTTTCAGTTTTTGTTTGATTCGAAATTTCACTTAGCATTTTCTTCTGATTCTGTTTTCATGTCTCTTTTAATTGTCATATCTTTTGCCATAGTTTGTCTACTTGGTGGCTAGCACCGCTTCTCCATGACTTCTACAATTATAGTTCCGATGAGCCAGATACAGTGTTCTGCTGGGAGATTTCTTGCAGGTATTTACAAATGCATACCTAAAGTTGTGTTCCTAGGCATTATGATTCGCAGTGTGTTGCACAATGCGGTGCGTTAGTTTTCTTTACGGGGATGAAGAACTCAATGCCAAAGAGACAACTAAGGAAGAAGGCCCCGAAGCAAAAAGCTACTTAGGTGTAAACGAAGAATTAAATTTTTTGCAATCTCCAGTAGTGGATGTGCAACACCAGATAATACTCTGCAATAGGAATTTTTTTTTTATTCTTAGGTTTGATCAGTCTTTCATTCACTGAAACATTTGAACATTTTTTAATCTCTTGCCCCATGTTTATTTTATATGACGACTTGATTTTGTTTTAAGATGAAGTGGGGTTTAAATCATATTCTTGTATTTCCTTGTTTAGACTTGTAACGTTTCATGCAGCCATTTTGATAGACAATTTGGACTGTTGTTTATAATTTTAAAACACTGATGGGTTTGTTCAATGACCTACTTTGGCAGTTTGTCTTCATTTTCACTTTGTTGATTAGCTCAGGTTAGGGATGGATACGGGATTCGAATTAGACGGGTTCTAACTTATTTTTATTGGGTTGTCTTTTTTTAAAAAAAAAAAGGGTTTGGGTTGAATTTTTTAGAGGATAAGTTTGGGATAGGTTCTGGTTTGGGATTAAAAAAACCCAACTTTAAAATTATTGTAATTATATTTTATATGTTTAGGGATAATTATAATAATATATATCTATATATTTTTTCAATTAAATCTTTATTTTATTGAATAAAGTTAAATTTCTTTTATGTATTGGTAATAGGTCGGGTCGAGTTGGGTTTTATCATAAAAGACAAATCGGGTTTTGGGTCAGGTCGGGTGAAGTCACCCAATGAGGTAGGTGGATTCCATGTCAAGTTCGCGATCTTGTCTGCCACTTTATTGCCTAGCCAGCGCTCTATAACAGAAACGTATTTGCTAATATTGGTTCAATAAGATCACAATGTGAGGAATAAGTGAGGACTGAGGAGGCACCATTCATGCCTCACCTTGTACCAGGAGAGCTAGAACTTTACTATCTGTGTCTACAATGGCAGCCCTTATTCCCAGTTCTCATGTAATGCGTAAACCCTCGTAAACACCCCACAGTTCTGCATCTAGGACAAAGTATTTCTTATTACCTTTCGTGTATCCCATGATCCAGCGGCCGTCTGAATTTCGAATCACTCCATCAAAAGCTGCTACACTCGTGCTTGTTTTCCGGCTCCATCCGAATTGATCTTGTACCATTCCATCGGCGGTGGGTTCCATTCGATCATACTGTTGACAGATTCCATTTTATTTCTTTATTTTCCTCCGATTGCATTAATATATATTAACTTGTATATAAACATTGTCCATTATGGGTCAATATTGAACTTAGCTCAATTGTTAGACGTGCCTTAACCTTCTATACGTTGAATCTCCATTTTTCATTGCTATTTATTTCTTTATTTTTCATCAATGAGATGATGACACAACATCATCCTATCAATGAATTAAATTTACTGAATTATTTCTAATCAAAAATTAAGATCAAAATGATAAAATACTAAAATGTATAAGTAAATATAACTAAATTTACTGTTATACAAATTTACTTAATTATCATGTCAATAGTTTCGTTAACAGTTAGCAGACGGTGACTTCATTGACACCAATTTGATAGTTTAGTGACTTAATTGATAATTTTTCTCAATGATCAAATATAATCAAGCCTATATCTTAATGACTTTTGGATTATTACCCAAATTCTTTTTACACATGTCAATCGAAACAAAATTAACTCAAACTCCATATAGCCTCATTTGAATAAGTAAATAATTTGTATTCCATTTAATTGGATTTAAATATAAAATAATTTAAAATCAAATCCATTTAGAATTCAATAATTCAAACAATAAAAAAAATCATTTAAATTCCAGTTGACTACTCAATTGCCATTGACGCCATTCTCATAAATACCTCCCTGGCTCCCCTATTTATTTGTTGTTTGGTCGACATGGAATTAATTATTAAATGAAATACATCCAAAGTCAAACCGATATATATATATATATATATATTCAAACAAAAAGTTAGATTCATAAATATTAAATATAATAAATAATCCACATAACAAAGAGTGAGCGACTAAAATCTTGAGAATGCCCCCAAAAAAAAATTAAATTCAATCTAAAATTATTAAAATTAAAAATGATAAGAATTGCCTAATAAAGTAATTTAAATGTTTAATATTTTTTGGATTGAAATAGAAAATATTAATAATAAAAATGAAACAAGTGATATTGAATGAGATTTCGATGTGCATTAATTATATGGCATGCTTGATTTGGGTGAGTTATCTGAACGCAGGCCAGTGGGTAATAAAGTAATAAGCCAGGTTCATCTTTTCTCAATTAATGGGAACAAAATTGAATAAAGAAGTGAGGCATGACACTTTAGTATTGGGAATCATAACAAACGTGTGAAGCAACTCCTCATTTTCAATTTGATTTCTTCACATACTTTCTATAGGGCAAACTTCATATATAGTCATCAATCTATTACTATTTCTTTTTTATTCCAGTCCCTGAGTTAACTTTCTTT